CCAGATTTCTGCTCCAGCCAGCAAATTTAATTAGGTGCAGGCCTGGAATTCGTTTGTGCTAGGAGCGCGTCCCCCGGACTCTAAGCTCTCGGAAGAAGAAGAAGTATCTTTGTCAGGACCCACCTAAAGAATAGTATGCCTATGATAACAAGCACACCAGAACGGCACGGTCCATATGGTAATGACCCTAAAGTCCCTAAACCCTAAACCCTAATTCCTCATAAGCCCTATTCCCTAATCCTCTACGCGAGCCCCAAACCCTAATTACTAGTGCCTGTAATGATCCTGATGACAAGCTCCGCACTGTCCGACAGTCTCGGGTTGCTGTTCAGGAGCTTAAAGTCAGCTTTTCTATTAATGAAACCCAGGGTTTAGGGTTTAGGGCTTAGGGTTTAGGGTTTAGGGTACTTTGTATCCCCAATGTGGCAACTTAAACTAAGTTCCTTAAACCCCAAACCCTAAGGCCTAAACCCCAAAGTAAGAAGCCTCTATAAACCCTGGAGACTCCCGAGCCCAAAAAAGCCCTTTGCCCAGAGAACCCAATATTCAATATAGGGCTCCTTAAAGGGATCTATAAGGGTCTCTATAAGGGACTTAAGGGGATATATGCCTTAAGTTATAGGGGCCTTAATATTATGATTTAAGGTATATTCCTTAATTAAGGGGTATTGGGTTCTCTGGGTAACAGCAACCCAGCGGCATCTATCCGCCGACTCAGGCTTCGAAATCTCATGATTCAGGGCTCAGGGATGATGGGTTCCTTTTTAAGGGTACCATAGGGTTCGATGATGGGTCTCAATTTAAAGGCTTAGTGCTTAGGTTCTACCTGAACCCTACAGAACCTAATTCTTTATGTCCTTATTAAGATTGACATGTATGAGTCCTTCGAAAAATGTAGGCTTCTTGGGGGTTCAGGTGGGGCCTAAGCTTGTGCAGAATGCTTGGGAAGTGGGGGGGCTTTGGGCCTTAAGCTTGTAAGATGCTTGGGGGCTGTTTTGGGCTTAGGGTTTAAGGGGTCTGCTAGGCCCTAAACCCTAAAGACTATGTATTTTGGGCTTCGGGTTTAGGGTTGCTTTGGAGGGTTTACACAGCTGGAAAACCCGAAGCCCTGAACCACGGAGAGCACAAACATCACAAGCCGACGACTCTTTGCAACACGGAAGCAGATGACCGAATTCCGTAGTAATAAATACAACCCTTTTTTGTTCAATCGTTGCTGTTTAGGGTCTAAGGTTTAGGCTTTAGGGTTACAAGGGGATTAGGGCTCAGGAGGTTTAGGCTTTAGGGCTCAGGGCTACTAGCCTTCGCATACGTATTCGTAGTCATGCAGGGAAGGCCCTGACAAGCCAAAGGTTGCGAACGGGAGGCCCGAAAAAGGGGGGTTAAAGGAACCATGCTTGAAGGATCCCTAAAGACCTCAACACTGCACCAGTGGCCTCCGATCGGAGGGTGCGAGTAAGCTGCATCTGCACACAGCAAAAACGAAGAATTATGGTATCCCCAAGGCCGGGGGTCCAAGGGGTTATATAACGCGAACGAAGCGTGAACAGTTGCCCAATGCTAGGGTTCCTTGTTTGAATCGTGCAATAACATATAACATACCCCACAACCCTATTTCCAAGTATCTAGCCCCTAAACCCTAAGCCCCAAACCCTTAAACCCTACTTTAACCTAGTCCGACGTGTCCCTACTAGTACTCCTTTCTTTTCCCTGAGGTTTGGGGTGCTAGGATTTGGGGTTAAGGGTTTGGGGATTTAGGGTTTAAGTTTACGGCTGAAAACTTTGGGTTTAAAGTTTTTGCTAGGGCCATGCGCGCTCTGTGGGTTTAAAGCTTATAGGGTTCGGGGTTTAGGCTATAAGGTATAAAACCTAGTTTAGGGTTCAGGGTTTTGGGCTTTTTGTAGAACTTGATTTTCGTGCCCATAGATCCCAGCCCGAAGCCCGAAGCAGTCCCTGAACCCGAAACCTCAGGCCCTGCATCCTTACGCCCAGATGAGCGTTTGTCAAAACTTCTTATGCATGGCCAGACCATGGATGATTTGGGGGGTCCATTCGCTTTACAAGGATTTCGTCACATGGTTCTGTGAGGTAGCGAATTGCTTTTCTGCAAGACCATCAGACTCACTGATCCTACTCGTAGCTTGCCCTGCCCTTTACTGCCCTTTGCTGCCCTTTATTGCTCTTTACTTCCTTTTACTGCCCTTTACCTGCCCTTGATTGCCCTTTTTCCATCAGACCGGCAATGGGCCACGAAACGAATTAGTGGGTATCGATTAGGGTATCGATTGCCTAGCCACATATCACACGCAAAATTAAGGCATGCATGCCGCGGCAGCACTGAAATGTCACAACAGATGATCTTTGTTGATCGTATGGCTTTTGGGGGGTCCTATCGCTTTCCAATGAAATTGGCAAGATCCGGCATTCCACGGCCACCCTACTTTTCACTACAATTACCGAAGCTTTGACGGATGCTCATATGTACTGACCAACACTTCCCCACATGCATGTACTGACCATGGTGTGTACCACACTGCTCTTGGGAAAAAGAAGGCCTTCAGGCATAAACTCGGCTTTGAGCCTCGGCGTAGGGACAAATCCGAAATCCTCAGCCCGAATTAAACCCTAAACTCCTAAATCCTAACTCGCTTATTATCTGATGAACTTGAAAGACTGCCTTCTCGACGTTCCCGTGCACGAGGGGGTCCCAGCCCCAGTCCCCGATGACCAGAAACCTGGTCTCTCCAACGTTGGGAGTTCTGGCTCCCGAAGGCCCGGGGGGCCTCGGGGAGCATTGTTCAGGGCTTACTTAGAAGCCAGGACTGGAGTTTGTCTTCTTTCGTGAAGAGTTGAAACTACTGGTATTACGAAACCCAAAGAAAAGCACAACGACGATGGACAACATCGAGAGACGAGCCCAAACGGTTCGCAGGTGGAGGCTGAGCATGCTCCTTCTCCTCGCACACATCTGTCCAGAATCTCTGCTGTCGGTAAGATTGCCAGCCGCAGGTCACCATCTCCAGCTTCGTGTAGGCATGGGCTTCGTCTATCGCCTGAACCAAGCGCAAATGCTTCAACTGCATGGGGTGTGAGTAAGTAAGTATCTACGTGTATGCATGTACGGATGTAGGTAAGTATGTATGTGTGTCTGTTGGTCTGTAGGTATGTAGGTATGTATGTATGTATGCATGTATTCATTCGATACAGGTGCGTGCATGCATGCATGTGGATGGATGGCTGGTTGGGTGTGTGGGAGGCAGGTAGGTAGGTCGGTCGGTAGGTTGCTGGATGGTTGGTTGATTGGATTGTTGTTCCTGGGTTCGTTGGTTTCTTTGTGTGGTGCTCTTTTCATTGTTTGTTTGCGCACGTCCTCTGCCAACCTATCTCAACCGAGATCACTTCCTACGAGGCGTTGTGGCTGTTGCCTCATGCTTTGCTTGCAGATCCCATTATGTCTTGACATTCCAGCTGGTTGCTTACCCTATTTCCCTGTATTCCACACTTCCATGCGATCCTCATGCTCATTTCCAGTGCTTGTCATGCCTGCTGCTGCTAGCCATGCCCTTGGGTTCCTCATCGCCCCAAGTACGCTTCTTTCACCATCGCGGGTGGCTGCACTTGTATGCACAGCGAGCAACGCCGAGAAACAAAACGATCGTTTGGCCAGGCCAGCAAGGGATACTTTTGGTGGTTTCGCCTGTGCTGAATTTGTAGGTGCTTCTGAAAGCGAAGCACTGGGAGGGAGGGAGAGAGAGAGAGAGGGACAGCATTGGATGAGAGGATTGTGCCATTAAGCCTCCCATCTTATCCTATCATCACCTCAAATGTAATAATGTATTATTCCCAGTTCCTGTTACATACTTGCAGGACTACTGGCACTGCTAAGATGATTGACAGTATGTCGACGACGAGCACAGTACGAAATCTTGTCGCAGAGCATGTTGGAACTTTGTCTGCCCAAGTCCGCAGAAACCACGAACGGAAAAGATTCTTCCCCGTTTCTGCTGTACAAGCCAGTGCGTGCGGATGGGTCGGTTGGATTGCCTGCCCATCAGGTTGGAGACGCTTTTCAAGGTGCGCTTTGTGCGAATTATGGCCTTCAGGCTTGTAGACGACAGAGATGGCAAAACTCGCAACTCAATGCAGACTATAGAGTTTAGGAAAGTTTAGGGTTTAGGGGCTAGTGTGCAGGGCTTCATAGAGTTTACAGGGTTGCTGACGGACCCGCACTCACCAAGAGGGCCCTATTTATCGACCTTCAATCGAATCCGTGATCTACACGCCCATACCGGCCTTCAGAGCTCTGGCACCGAACCCACCAACCGTGTACAACCAAAAGCAACTAAGAGACTCAACCTCCTGACTCCGAAACTTCGGGTTCCGGGGCCGCACCTCCTCCGCAACGGTAAGACATCGGCGTCCCTGCTGAATGTTCTGCGCGGAGGATGTGATGGCGTCCGGGATGTGGAAAACCTGCTGCATTACTAAGGGCACTGCTTTCACTAAGAGACATGGACCATGTCGGGCTTCAGGGCTTCAGCATTTACGTTCCGGATGTCGGGCTGGCGAGCAGTTCTTGCCGTCATCGAGCAAGGCTGCTGAGGAGGACGGCAGGTCACCAACATGACGGACTTATTTTTGATTGCAATGCATCGCCTGGCTGTCATCACCGTCCAAGCATTGCCACAAGTGCAGCGGCAAGCGATCTTTGTGCTTGTGGTGCGTCTCCAGGCAGTAGCTGGGGCTGGATGCAAGTCGCAGTTTGCCTTCTTCTTTATCGATGAGCCAATGCTGCCGCTGACCAACCTGAGACTTTTCTGTGGTTCTGAGATACAATATGGTATAACTGCACAGGAACTAGGAGGGATATGTTACTCAGGATTCCGACCTCTCTATTCAGCAACTTGGGTCCTGGGGTCGCTAGACTAGACCCCGCAATAGGAAACAGTGCAGGCAAAACTCAAATTGTGTTCATTTTGCTGGCAGGGGTTTTGGTACGGACAAGGACATTCATGTCTCCTATTTCCTGAACCGAACCAAATCCGAAACCAGTATGGGCGAGAATCCAAAAGAGTATTAATTTGCCACCAATCACCAAAAAGCGTGCTGACACCCTCCTAAAACCCTGATACCCATAGAGCCCTTATAACTCTGTCGGATCAAGGCACTCGCGTGCCAGCTTCGCAAGGTGCAAGCACCACAGGCTCACCGTTCCCAATGTGCCAACTCAGCGTCCCTTAGTGGGAGTTTTATGCTTTCGAAGATACCTGTTTTGTTGAGGGCCTATCCTGGGCCTGCATTAGAAGTGATGTTTGGGATTTAGCGTTTAGGAGGCTACGGGGGGCAGGGCTATAGGGCCCTCTTCTGATGGTTCTGATGACAGATGCTAAAAGCAGTTATCATTGATTCTGGTTACGACAACTACTTCTTTCTGCTTCTCGGACTTACAAAGTTTAGTTATGACTGCTCAGCACCCAAGGTTCCGAGGCAAAGATGCTCCTTCGGGCCGCCATGGGCACCCTTCGGCCAGCTCGGCCAGCCGGGATCCCACTTGAGCTGCCGTGGGCACGGCAAGTGCGATGGGACAGGGAAGGACTCCACCTTAGAGCACTCGCTTAGGGCCTTATAAGGCTTGTGCCATGTGCTCCGGGCATCGGGTCCGGGTGGCTTAGACCCTAAACCCTAAACCCTGGTTGTTAGCGGCTCTTCTCCGGAGAGGGCTGATGCTTGGCCTGATAGCAGGCAGCCCGGCAAACCGAGCCCAAGCTACAAAACCGAACCGCAGTCAGCCGCTAGCAAAACCGGAAGCGCAACCAAAAAGAAGCTGCTGAGGACAGCATGGAGCAAATTACCCGCAAAAAACCGCGCACTAAGGACTCCACCGGGTGATAGAGAAGCTGGCAGGCCGAAATCTCCATGAAGTCGGTTCTCGACCGCTCTATTGCGATCACAGGGGAGCTGGGAACAAGATGCTGATCCTGGGCTCTTGCCGAGGAGCTTAGCTTCAGCTTGCTCAGCGATCCTCATTCTTACTAGCATATTGACTACTCAGTGTCCCTAGCTTTGAAAGTAGCTTCAAATAAGTTCCTCAACAAGAACCAAGGATCGTGCTTGCTGTGAAAGATGCCGCCATGCCGGTATTCGAAGTCCTGCCTCGAGTCGGAGGAGTTGCAAAGGGCTATGTGCAGCTCTGAGCGGGCGTTCAAGCCGGCGCAGAACTTATCGTTCAGAGCCAGCTGCATTCTCCCACCTGGGCAGGTCTGATCAAGGGCTGCTATACGGGTTATTATAAATGAGGGTTTGTATCTGTGGGGATCTGATCACGTAGCCCGATTTCCCCCTACCGCCGGACACAGCGAGGGATTCTGTCTGCGCTGGCTTAGCTCGCTATTGCGCGAACATCCTTTCCACCATGTACGGGACCGAGCCACTGCCCCGATATGTTTCACAACAACTAAACCCTCAACCCAAACGGCCCTAAACCACCTAGGCCCTCCAGAACTATGGACCAGCGTGCTCTGAGCTCTGAGCCTGTGGTGTTGAACATGAACTGCGTCGGGCCAATACCATCCTGAAATTTAGGGTTTAGGGTCCTCGGAAGTGCGTTTTTGAGCATGGTCAGAATAAGTCAAACAGGCGGCCTTCATGACGAGAATGGGATTTTGGGGTATATTTTGCTCGAATTCCAAAAGAGGCCTTAAGGAACTGTGCTGCTAGTTATCCAGGGTTCCATACATGATGACCATTGCGACTCGGTTCTTGCAATTAGCTCCACCACCGTTTGAGGGGCACTTTATGTGCCAATGATAATGTGCTAGACCTTCAGGGATTATCCGAGTTGTCCGTCTCCTCAGAGTGCTGCCGGTCAGTATCCTTGTGACTGTGGTCTATTTTAACGAGTTCCAGGGGGTGTTCAGAGATTCTGAAGCACCCTGCCCCTACACCCTGAACCTCCCCAACACCAAAACCTAAACGGGCCTACTTGGAGGTTCATGGTAATTAACGCTACGACTATAGCTATCCCCACTTATAACCCTATTTATACAACTACCCATGAACCTCCAAGTATGGCTTGAGATTCCCTAAACCCTAAACCCTTAACCCCAAGCATGGCTTGAGGTTACGTGCTCCGGTCTTGAGAATGCTCTGACCGCTAGTCCAAAGCCCCGAAGGCCTGGCTGGAAGGCCCCACCTTGCTAGGGTTTTAGGGGGGCTTAGGTTTTAGTGGTTCTTAAGGGGGGTTAAGTGTCTATAGGGGTTAGGGGTTTAGGGTTTAGGGCTTAGCTGTTCAGGGGTTTTAATAGGGTTTAGGGGTTTAGGAGTTTAGGGTTTATAAAGTTTAGCATCTTGATGAAAACTGAAAACAAATCACTCCGCCACCCTGGAAGTATGTAGAGCAATAGCCTTTTATGGGTTTTGGGCCATTCTTTCACCTACTTCGGGGGTTTAGGTCAACCCTAGACCCTGAACCCTTCTGTCCAAGCAGCGCCCTCACAGGGGCCCGGGACGAGACTCGTTCCCTCCTCGATGGACCAACCTCGCGGGGTCATGCAGATAATGTCGGGGCCTTAACAATTAGAATAGGGTATTTGGGGTATGTTATACTATAATTTATCACAAGGACCCCCCAAAATAGTATAGGTAATTGTTAAGGCCCCTGTATGATCTGCTTACTTTCGAATTCTCTAGGGCCTCATCAAGAGTTCGAAGACACGTATGCACAGGTAGCCCACGGTAGCACACATGCGCACATACATAAATGTAGATACGCACACACAAGGACGTGGCTAGGTAGATAGCTAAATAGAATGAGAGCAAGAGAGATTCCGGGGAATGGAATCTCTTGGTGCCCGAAAGGGAAGGTGGAGCTTCCACCCTAAACCATCAACCCCCGAACCCTACACCGAAACCCTAAACTAAACCCGAAACCCAAACCTATAGACCCTAAACTCGGCCAAGGATCCCTGCAGCGCCAAGCACCGATCGTCCGTCCTCCACTTCAGCTGCCGAGGGCAATCGAAGCGACACTTTTCGAACTCGAAGCTCTGCCTCTGCACACGGAGGGGTCCTAGCTTAGGTCTGTGTAAGAGGGCTAAGGGGGGTTGTAGGCTGTAGGATTTGAGGGACTTGGATTTGTGGACGTCTTGGGATGCTCTGGTTTGCCTCTTCGCGCTTCAGGGTTTCGCTCTTGGGTTTGGAAGGGAAGCTCCGAATTCGCCACTTCCTTGTCTAGATGTGCTTGTTGCATCTCTATTAATGGTAAACACGAACTGCGCGCAGCCAGTGCCGCGCATGAATGTGCAGTCTGGGCCTCCTATTCCCAGCTGATGGTCGACGTACTGAAAATCTAGTGCTAAAACAAGGCCGCTGCAACAACAAGATGTAACATACCTGAGCCATAAAAGCCTCGCCCCTGGGATTTTCGAAGACTCAGAAGCCAAGGGACAGTGGCGACGGCACCTTCGGGCACGGTGCAATTTGCAAATTGGTGCCGGCGTTCGTGGAATGATACGCGACATCCACGCCTTGGACAAAGAGGTCGAAGGCTTTGTTCTTGAGTAGCTGGCGTTTGCGTTCCCCGGCTTCCCCTTAAAATCCGAGTAAGAGTCAACACTGCAAATGCATGCGTGGGTGTGTCAATGTATGAATGCGTGTATGGAAAGCATGGCATTGGCGTTGGCATTGGCACAGGATGGCATGGCATCGCATGGCAGGGCATGTCATAGATTTGCCGGGGTTGGTATGGTATGGGCATGGGTGTTGACATTGGTATTCGTATTGGCATTGGGGTATAGTATGGTGTGGTATGGTGTAGTATGGTGCGCTATGGTGTATGGATGGTACGCATGCATTTATGTACGTGCCGTGTGAATATGTGTACATACACATAGGTACATACACATACATACACATACATACACATACATACACTACACCACATGCATCCATCCATCCATCCATCCATCCATCCGTCCATTTTCCATCCATCTTCCATCCATCCATCCATCCATCCATCCATCCATCCATCCATCCATGCATCCATACACACACACACGTAGGTGTGTATATATATATATCAGAAAGGACTGTTGAACAGTCCCCTCTCCAGACCATATATATACATACATACATACATACCTACATACATACATACATACATGCAGACACACACACAGAGAAAAAACACAAACACAGACACAGCCGCAAACGTAGACACAACCACGCACACACACACACACAGATCGACCTACATTAATTCCAAGGTGAACATAAAAAAAACATGCATGCACGCATACAAACGAACACATGTAAATACTTACATTAGCTACATGTAGATGGACAGTCAGCAGGCAGCCAGGCAGGCCGGCAAGCAGGCGACAGACAGACAAACAGACGGACAGACTGACAGACGGAGTCTTCGGCAGACATCGCGAAAGGAGTCTGGACCGGTACTGTCCGGGTGCACCGGAACCCCGGAGTGCAGAGATTCGGGCACATGGAACTTGGAGCTCCCAATATCTTGCAAACGGTCTCTTCACAAACGGACAGGGCGTGCGTAGAGTTTGTTGCTGCTGGTCACTGGGGTTTGTCTTGAACCTCTGTTCCAAAAGGGTGACTTGCCGCTGCGGGCCAGTGTTCACACATTTCAATCGGTCCTTGAGTCCGAGCTGGTGGTAAAGCGTCAGCTGCCCTCTCAGAAAGCGCTGCTTGGTCCCGTAAAGCAGGACTCGAGGGCGTCAGGGATTAGATTCCTCCCACATGATGCTGAGCATGTTCATTGTGCACAATGAGAGAACTGCGAGCAAATGGCTACATCCGCTCGAAAGGACACGAGCCCTACATCATCAACGGTCCCAAGCGTGCTAACGGAAAATGAGCAAGCCAGAACTTTCACGTTCGATCTTGTATGCCGAATGACACAAGCAAGGCCGGGATGATCCTCTGGCTCTGGCGGTGTCGGCCGTCAGAATGGCGTGGTAATGGTGTGAGACAGGCAAGCACTTGGCCACAACATGGATGCCATCAATCGACAACTGCGGATTCTTTGGGATGCGATTGGATTTTGGGCATACAGGTTCAAGCTGGCCGCACAAAGCTGGCAATGCCCATGGGTACCTGAAGATCCTTAAGGCCTTAAGGACTCAACAACCAGAATCCGACGCCGGTCTGGTAACAGCTCGTCTACGCAGCAGAAGCTGGCGCAGCACAGAGAGGCAAATGCGTGGTATGCAGAGAAAGTAGTGGATCTAGGCTCGCCAATCCCAGTGTGTAGGCTCCATGCCAGAAGGGCAGTACTAAGAAGGGACAACTTAAAAAGTATGAAATGACCGAGCAGCATTTGCTGGGATCCTGGGACCACAGCAGCATGTGGTCTTTCGAATGTGTGAAGTTCTGAACCTCAGACAATCGAAGGAATAAACCTAAAAACCAAAGTTTCCCTTCACAAACGAAAGGTCCTCGCCGTTGGGGTCCTTGCTCAGCTCACCTTTTAACTTTAGCCCCGCATAACCCGCAATCATATTCCAAACTCTTCAATGAGCCGCCGTAGAAGCTTGCGTAATGCCCCTTCCCACAAAGCTGGGTAAGCTCCCTACGAGCCCTGAATGCAATTTCAATCAGTGTGCCCCATGTCACTATCCGGCCAAGGAGCATCTCCGTCTACGCATTCCCACAGCTGCATCTTGGTCCAGTCCATATCCCTGTGGTTCCTTGCAGGGCCAAGGGGTGCTAATCCCTGCCAAAAGCTGCAAGGAAAGCCGTACACCCTAAACTTCCTAAACCCAACCCTAAACCCCTAACCCCTAAACCCTAAACCCTAAACCCCAAAGCACCAAAGAGCCCGAGCCGAGAAGCAGACACCTCAAAGCATCAAGTCTACACCCTTACGACGAGGTTGGCAGGGGGATGTCTACGGCCTAGGGCCTATGGCGGGCTACGGCGGCCTATGGCAGTTTTTCGAGTTCGGCTTCACAAAATGACGTGTTGATTGCGACACGAAGCGGAGACAGCATAGCTCTCGGCCCCAAAAGTCCAGAATCCGTAAAGCCCTTCGAAGTCCACAGGGACACCGATGCCAATGGGGCAGCCGCGGCAGAGTTATTGGGTACAAAGCCTACTGGCGTGGTGCATCGTTACTTGGGGTCTCGGTATGGCTCCTGGTCGAAACTTGCCTGCTTCTGCAAGTACGTTGGGGCTTCTGTTTCCACCTACGCCGGTAGCCGCTTGACCATGTTCGCAGACCAACTCAGGCTCACCACATGCATCAACAGCCTAGTCTCATCAAACCGAAAGCCGAAATTTCAAGAGGAGAACGCATTGAAGGCTTGGGAGAAGCACAGGCACTGAACCTCAAACCGGCATGTGTTGCAGGTCCTGACATCCAAGCACAGCGATGGCCGGGTGAAGAGCCGAAGTTTGCTGTTGTTGGTGAAGATCCTCGCTGCACAGAGGGTCTTCTTATTGGCGTTATGCTTACTCTTGGAAAAGTGCACCATCATGCAAGCTCGACCCCAACCCAACATGCCGCAGTTTCGCCGAAAACCTCCATCTGAAAACAAAGTGCTCAGCCACCGCATGTATGCAGCTAAGAAGCCATTCGTCATGTGGCACGGTGCCACATTTTTCGATCACAACCTGAACAGAACTGAGCAGGGTGATGTTTGGATCGACGCGTCCGGTGCTTGACTTGGGCTCAAGAAACACGAACATACATGAATGACTGAGTCATAGCCACAGCGACAGTAAGGCTTGCCCGGTGTGACATGCAAAAACACATAAGACTGTAGATGCAACCACAACTGAAAAGATGACAGTTGACATAATTAATGGTCCTTCTGATTCACGTTACAGAAGAGCAGGATCCAAGGCAGTACAGGAGCAGAACTGGGAGAACTTAACCCCAGGTTCTCGAGAAGAAGTCAAGACCATGGGATGTTGACTCGAAGGGGCCGCAAGGAAACGCTGGCGGCCATCAAAAACACCCTTACAGGCGATGGAAAACCTACATGACCAGCGTGCAAACACCATCAAGACTCTTAGAGGGCTTAGCTTGATCTGCTTCCCTTATATCTGACCCATATGGGTAGTTCTCTAAGAAGGATCCCGTTTTTCGGTTCCCCAAGAATAGTGCGGCACCCTTGTAGAAAGGACCATCAAAAAGACCCCGATTTAGAGAACTGCCCACATCTGACCCATATTGAGGACAGGAGCATCCGCACCACTGTAGGCATCCGCACCCTTCACTGCCAAGCAGAGGTCCGCATGTAACTGGCGCCAGGGCCAGAAAACTCGGGTAGACCCAGTTAGCGCGCAGGTGAATGTATGTGTGTGTATGTGTGTATATATATGTATATATGTATATATGTATGTATGTATATGTATATATATATATAATGAACAAACAAATATGTATATACGTATACTTATTTCGATAAATGTGTATATGTATAATGTATGTATGCATATACGTATATATATATATACATGTATATATATATATATATAAGTCAGACCACACTATATATAGAAACCATACCACAATCAGCAGGTGAACACTCGAAGACCAGTGCCGAAGGTAGTTGCCTTTGTGAGGATTTTCCTAGGGAGATCGGGATCTGAATCAGCCGAGACAGAAGCTCCTTCGCATCGGGACTCGGTCCACTTCTGCCGCAAGAAACCACTCCAAAATAGTTGTACAAAGCCCTATACACCCAAAATCCCACGGAAGCGTGTCCTCTCAGGCTCCACCTGTAAACACTTGACAGAGTATTGGCCACACACCCTCGGGCCCTCGAAACCTTTTAAACCGCCGGGACTCCCTAAACCCCTAACTTAACCCCAAACCCGTTCCCGAAGAGCCTTCAACAAGCCCCGAAAAATCTAGAACCCTGCTGTTCGGTCTGTAATTATCTGGGGTTCGTAAGTAAGGGGCGATTCTCTGAGCGCTGCTGCGCAAGCCTTCCACTTGAGCTGCCGACCACACTGCATCAAGTCTTTCTCAGAGAGGTTGGCGAACTCCCTTAGCATTGGTTGAGCGTTCAGATTGGCAAAGCTTCCACCTAAGGTAGCTATCGACATATGTAGTTGCAGAAGGGGCCCGACAACAAACCATGATGTAGCACACCCTCATTTTGGGGCAGTTCTCTGCTTCGCAGGAGTAGAGGGGATGATGATTGAACAACTTCAACGTCTCGGATCCGCTCGTGAAATCTGACATCGCTCCTCCTGCAAGAATCCTATCCTGATCTAAGATCCTCAGCTGGGGACATGGTTGAACCATGATGCATGCTTCTCGGCAACACGGTACCACGCCGACTTTTGGAGCTTTTTGCTCCGTCACTGACAGTATACGGGGTTTTGGGGGACCCTGTCGGTGTTTGGGTTAGTCTCTCGGGCTTTGCCCACAATGAAAGAGCACAGAACCAACCTGTATCTGCTTGAACCTTCAGCATTGAGCTCCCCGGATTTACTTATACCCACAGGTCCCTAGCTTCGCGGTCCTTACCACGCAGACCCCACCATCTAAGGATTTAAATTGGAGTTCCCTTACTTTCAGAAGCTTCCAGATGTTGCTCCCTTCTGCCCTCCGTCGATGATGGAACCTCACCTGACAAAGTTATTTCCTAAGGCTCTGTGCAGGGCTCTCACAGGATAACACTCGAGGCCATTGAAAAGCATGAGACTGACCACAAACTCCGTTGATTCAGCTACGGCTCGATGATTGCAATGACGACCTACCCATCCACAATGCCGAGGCCAGAAGAATTGCGATGCCCCCAGTGGTTGCAGCGACGCAGAAGCCGGTCTTGGCATTTCTCTCCAAGAAGCCTGTTTGGCTTCATTCCGATGCAAGGTTAGGTCGGTTAGGTGTTTGGGAGTGAACTTGAGCATCACGAGGATTCGGATTCGGGCATGAATTGTTGAAGCTGTCAGCGGTGGTGACATCTGTGCGCACCTGAAGGGTTGTTCGGCACAGCATGAAAGCAGAAGGGCCAAAGGACAATCTACGACTCAAATAAATCACCATCATCATAATCATCACCATCACCACCATCATCTTCTTCGTCGTTTGCACTTGGCAGCACCATTATCATTCATAAACAAGATGCTGTTGCTCACACTCCTGCAACAAAAACGATGTGTCATCATGCAACTCAACAAAGTACAATCTCCTGCAGGCCAGGAAAGTACAACCTTCGGGTTTTGAGGATCATATTCCAGATGCCAGCCTTGATTTTGATAGGATTGAAGACTACATGCTCAAACATCCCCACGTGTACAACCAGGACACCCCTGCTTCAGTGGCTTAGGTGGACATTCGGCGCCAGGCGGTGAAAGAAGGGTGCACCGCTAGCCATCCCGTTGAACAGTTTGCGGTTCAGAAGGAAAAGGACCGAAAAGTGCCGCGGCGCCCCGTGATTGTTTCTTCAAGCATGGCATTGGTGCGCATTGCTCTGCAGCTTGTTGTGCTAGCGACCCCTTCAACAAGTTTCACAGAGACACTGAAACATCGTCATGAGACACTTCGTTGCTGCCAAACGACGATATACTGCGCGAACCAAATGCATCGTGTGACAGCTTGCTACAATCGTCGGCACAAGCACTGCGACTGGTTCTTCGCAAGCGTCTGCTCTAGGGTTGGCGTGCTCTTTTGACAATGGCAGTCGTTGTTCTGGAAGTCAAGGCGGCATAGCACGAGAGGGCTCGCATCGTCAGCGTCTGTCATCCGAAGCACAGAGAGTCTGGTAACATGTTGCAGCCGGGAGATCACCACAAGAACCATGGACCGTAAATGACTGCAACGGGGCTGTGTTCAACTCTTCCGCTTGCAAGCTTCTATTTGTGCAAAAGCTGAACACAACTTCAACGTTCCCACGACCGAAGCTGTACCCTGAAGCACCCACCTCCGCAAACCGAGCGCTATCTGCTGTTTGGGGCCACATTAACCCTGAGCCCGAAACTCAACACCATAAAAAGATCCCAAGTACTGCGAGCAGGTGACTTCGCTGGCTGTAGGAGGCGGATCGCACAGGGGAGGCAGCCTTCCAAGAGTCAGTAGTAGTTCCTTGTTTTTGGGCTTAACCAGCTTAATAATTAGGACCCTATAAGTTAAGTGATTGCAAAAAGGAACTACGGTGGAGACTCTAGGTGCTTCCATGGGATCAAAGGACCGCTTCGCCTCCAAAAAGCAGTGACTCCATCAGCTCTGCTTGGGGCAGCAGCTTCGAGGCAGCCGTGGAATTTGAGTTTATAGGGATTATATAGGGATTATATAGGGATTGACTAAGGAACCCAGAGGCCCCAAGACCGAACCCAAAAACCTCAAACTATGGCAGGGCTCTCGGCCCAGGGCTTCGTGCACGATTAGTCTATGCATTGTGTGTAGGTTTAGGGTGTATATGTAGCTATGCATGCAGGTTTGTATGTACGCATGCACGTGCTCATGCGCCTCCAGCTGGTCCTCCAGGCAGTCTGTCTGTCTGAGCGGGAGGTGTGGCGCGTCCATGGGGCCGCGGCGGGGCCTCAAAGAGTGGCAAAGAGTGGGCCATCTGGGGGTTTCCGAGAACAGGGGACCCTTAGTACCCTAAATAGTAGGGTCCTTATTATAAGGACCCCCAAATAAGGTACCCTATTTTTTGCTGAGAAGAAGACGAAGAAGATCCACAAGAACTTCAAGGAAGCATACGAAACGTCTACAAGTGAAGAGGACTGCAGGCTCATGTGAGCAACAATGTGAAAACGCCAAACGGAAGAAGCACCGGCGATGACGAAATTTGTGGTAGGCAAGGAAACGTAATGGCAAAGTAAGAAGAGTACATGCAAACCTTTGTATAAACATATGTACACGAGAGAGCAAGCAGGTGCATGAATCGTGAAGTCGGATAATTACAGAACTGGTGCCATCAAATAATCGAAAAATGCTGCTGCCAGCGTTCGGTTGGCATATCCTTCGGGCAGAGCGAGGGTTGCTGGACATTCGTTCATCCTGACAGCACAGAAACTTCGGATCTTGCGGTAAAGCCTCGAACCCTGCCTAAGGCCTATAGGCCCTAATTTACAAACCCTAAAACAAATCCTACATAAAGGAAAAAAAAGAAGATGCCCGAGCCTTACAACGCAGTAAGCCTTAATTCCCAAATCCTACTGCGCGAGTCCTAATTCAGACTATGGAAATGATGGAGCTGATGAGCAGAGATGATTGACAGGCATTGGAATTCATAGTCGTGCTCCTACTGCTCCTTAACCAGTCAGAGTCGCACCAACACCGCTAAAGATGATAGAGTCGAAGCACAGCCGCATACATAAAACCCAAAACCCCGCAAGTCCTTCACTCCGATTGCATCCTCAAATCCTAACTAAACCTTAAACCCTCAACCCTACTGACCCTACTACTACTACTACTACTAAACCCTAAACCGAAGTCGGCAAAGCGGCACTGGCTGGCCCCGCAGAGCAGACTACAGCTAAGGGCCGAGTCTCGAGACGGCAAAGGAGAGGCATCATGAGTTTGGATTTTCGGTGGAAGAGTTGAGGGTTTAGGGCTTTTTTTGTTGGATTTTCGGTGGAAGAGTTGAGGGGTTAGGGATTTTTTTGTTGTTTGAAGGTCTGTTGGTGACTGCCAGAGCGGGTCTCCAACCCTTGTTGGGCAGGCTTTCGGGTCGTGTTGAACCCGGGGTTTTTAGAGGTTTTAGGGCTCAGGATCTGGGGTTGCGGATTGTAGGATTTAGGGGCCTGCGGCCTACGATTCGTGAGGTCTAAGGCTGCAGCTCTTCAGTCGTTAGGCTTTGAATGATAGACTTAGAGAGTGTCACAATACCACCCTCATCCCCAATAGTTCAAGATACCAACGGGTTCAGGGTTAAGGGTTCCCCCCCCAAAAAAAAAACCAACGACTAAGGCCCTTCAGGGTCGCGGTCTCCGCTGCTTAAAGATTCCATGACTGCTTGCATGGAAGCATGAGCAGCCGGAGCCCAGAATTGCATACCCCCTTGTAGCACAAGGAAACCTATGATTAAACTAAGGGTTTTGGGCGTAGGTTATAAGGAGTCTCCTAACGATTCAGGCATCTGCATTACCAGGCTTTCACAGCTCATTCACAGCTGCATGCACTGCAACACACGGAGATTCCGGGCCCGCCACCGTTTCTCGACTGAAACAGTGGAGTTGCAGCTTCATGCCTGCTGGGAATGTCAGCTGGCACGTAGTTGCTCAATTTTGCGTGAAGAGATGCTGCTACATGGAAAGGTGATGGGGAGGTGGACAGAGTGTAGATAAGATACGCTCAGATAGACATAAGCATTTGTTTACGCTCTATCGGTAAGATTGCTGTACCTGGCGTCTTGGTAGTGCCTCTGGCTTGCATGTTTCTTTGATTCAGGTTGTCATTAATTGCGACACCTTATGCACTTCTGCAATACAACAGCAACCGAGCCGCCAACAAGTGAAGGCATTGTGCAAAGTCCCTGTGTTGCACAAATCCCCAGACCCTAACCCAGCAAGCGGTCCTTTTGAGTAAGGCATGTGCTCCGTCAGGGGCGACCTCAGGAATCACAATTCGTATGAATCCATGCTGTGCAGTGGTCACCCCTTCTCTGTGTAGCAGTGCATCTTGATAAAAAAACCCTATGAAACTCGGTTCCAAGAACGAACCTTCATCCACAAAATGCAACATATGACTCCCTAGATGTTGGCAAGAAGAAGCAATCATTCACGGAGTCCCAAAAGCCTCGCGAGCCTGCAAAAAGGAATTCAGGGTTTAAAGTTTGCAGTTTAGAAGGTCTTACCACCACTTGCGGTCAAAGGTTTAAGCACATACCCTAAACCTCGCTGCATCAGGGCTCCTCCCAAACGAACGACTCCAGAAGGGGGCCAGCCTTTTGTATCCCCAATACAGAAAACACACAGGATCCTCATGTGTCCATAAGCCATGACCCCTGAACCGTCTACCCCAAACCTTACATACGACACCTTGAAGCCCTAACCCTAAGACCTGTTGACTGAGACATGCAAAATACCGGGAGCTCCACAGCACCAGGTGCCCCTCCGGTGTGAAGGCATGCAAAGGCCGCACCAGACCTTCTCTGGGCGAGGGCTTAAGCCGTGTCGGGTTTGGGGCTGTAGGGCGTACGGCCCATGTGCGGGGTATAATCGAGAAGAATATGTTAAGCTGCTGGCCAGAAGATCAACAGGATGAAACATGGACTTAGGACGGCTCTAATAATTAGTATCGAACAACTAGGTGGCCCGGGGCTCGAACGCCTTGAAAGCTTGACATGCCCTGTTTGAGAGCTGTGGCGTTCACATTTGTGTAAGCCCACGACGTCCGGCACGCCTCAAGAAGGAACCGCAGCATTCTTTGAGAACTCCCCTCACCCACCGCAAGAAACACAAGGACAACAGACTGCAACATTCGGGGTTTCCGCATATAAGACACTCGAATCCAAGGACCTTTACCTAGAGCACCAACTCACAAGAGACAGCCTCCGTAAATCCAATGTGGGCCTCTCTATTTATTTGTCGAAATGGATATGTATAGATATTTATCATCTCTTCTAACCTCTGTAGAACTACTTCTTAGAACTACTCTTCCGAAGCCAAACTCTATAGATCCGCAAACCACGACACTCCTAAACACCTAAACCCCCCTGAAACCCTATATCAGCCCTCCCCCTTCCGAAACTTATTTGGTAGCTACTATATAGCAGCCCGTATAGAAACCCTAAACCCTAAACCCCGAAAGAA